TGTATAAAAACTAAGGTGAACGTGGAAAGAACTTTAAAACTGCCCACTCTAGGACACTAGAAGATTTTTTGAAGATTTTATATTGCTTTTTTTGTATATTCTCAAAAGATAAGTAATCCAACTTCGTATGTTGAGCCCTCTCTGCAAGTCTATTGGGAAATTTTGAATTTTTCCGAAAACCACAACTTTTATAATAAATTTTGGTTGGAGAAGTAGCAATGAGAAAAGCTGTAAATGTTTGTTGATACATTACTCCTTCGAGAGATTCTTCGAGATGTTTAGAAAATTTAATCCAATACCTTAGAATGTAATCACCTAAAGATAATTCTCTAGTGATAGCGAGAGTAATGTGATCCTCCCAGCCGCCGAGATTGTAGATAATTCTTAGACCTGAACAGTAGATGTGCTCAATCTCTGCTTGCTGCCTTTCAGTATAAAGAAACCAAGTAGCAAACAGCCAAATGAAGTGAGGTAAGGCGTATGCACAGAAAAGTTTGCGGCGAAGTTTAGTTTCGGTTTTAGGTATTGTTTTAAAGATTTTTCCCAATCCTGAATAAATGTTCCTCACTTTTTTTAATCGGTTTTTTATGAAATTTCCCCAACCTAATTTTGTTCCAATTTCTACTCCCAAAAACTTGAAAGAATTTACATATTCTATGGGAATTCCCTTATATTTAATTTTTGGTTTTGAAGTAGCTACTGCGCTGTGAACGAGCATTGCTTTTGTTTTTGCTACGTTCACAGGCAGTATGTGATCGTCTGCAAACTTTTCTAAGCCTTTTAGAACTGATGTTGCCTGTCTTTGTAAAAATTTAATATTATCAGACAGTTTCATTTCAAGTGCTCCTTTTATGACCATAGTGAGATCATCGGCAAATAAGTGAGACATTATTTGAGCGAAGTAATAGGGCAGAAAGTGAATATGGAGACGGAACAATAAGGCTGCTAAAACTGAACCTTGGGGTGCACCAACAAAAATCCTGAAGATTCTTGATTCTGCATCTCCGTGTGAGATGGTCATTGAACGATTTTGTAACCAACCAAAAATCCATCGGCGAAGTTGCAGAGGCATATTTAGTTCTTCAAGTGTTTTCATTAGTGCTGGATACCACATACGGTCAAACGCTGTGAGAAACTCAACGAAGATCACCAGTGCTGGGCGGGAGTTAACCGGAGATCCTCAGCTAGAGAGAGAATACGAGTTTAGAGTCTTCGATTACTCGTAAAACCGGACTGTTCATCTATATTTACCCCACTATCTAAGCACCACTTCGTGATTCTCTCTGCTATGATTCTCTCAAACCATTTGCCTAAGTTCGGTAGCAGGGATATTGATCGTAATTTGTCCGCAGATGGATAAATTCCATCTTTGGACAGACATATTCCTTTCGCCCTCTTAGCCCGCTCAAAGAAGTCTCCCTTGCTTGCGCACTTATTAAAGAGAACTGTGACAATATTAAAATATTCAGGCGGGAGATTCTTTAAGAGGAAGGCTGAAGTGTTTGTACTATCCAGACTCTTTTTAGGTTTAAATTTTTTCCATTGTTTAATAACATCGTCAAGTGAAATTTTGTCCAGAGGAATATTCGGAGTATAAGACAGAGCTGTATACTCTTCTAAGGATTTTGAATGATGTGTATTGTTTAAATCCGTCGTAGGTAATGAAAAGTGATTTTCATAAAAATCTGCCAAAACATTCACAATATTATCGCTATCTTTTTCAATTCCCGTTGTACTTCTCAGACCTCGGAAAGATGGAGAATATTTTTTAAAAGTATTGTTTACAACCTTCCAAATATTATTTCCTGCTTTCATAAATTCTAACTTTTTATCTCTCTGTGCTTCTTCGAATTTACTTTTTTCTGTTTTATACACATCATTCAAATGTTTATATTTCTCGTAATGTTTAAGAAAAAAAGTTTTACGATATTTTCTTTTCAATTTGTTTACATTTCTTGCGAGCGAAAGAAGATAGTGAGGCCATGGCGGTCGAAATTTTTTGGTTAACTCGTAAACGCTGCATCTATCCCAGAGTGATGAAAGAAAATCAGAGAATAAGGTAAAAAAAGAGTTATAATCGATGTTATAAACAATGGAATTCCAATACTCATAAACAGATTTTAGAAAGAAGGAAAAAACTTTCCAGTTTGTTTTTCGAAAGTAAGAATTTTCTGTTAAACAAAAAGGTGATGGAAATAGTACTGGATAGTGGTCTGACGTACCTTCGTTCAACACTTCGATGCTCCATCCTGAAGAATCCTGCGTAATGGCAAAATCAATTACTGATTCGGATTTCTTCGAAGTAGGAGTAGTAGAGTGAACTAAATCACATCCGGTACGCTCTATCCATTCCTTTAATTGATTGCCACTTGTATTATTGGTAGAGCAGCACCACTGAGCATGTTTAGCGTTGTAGTCTCCAAAAATGATAAAATTTTTATCCAAATACTTTTCAAAGAGATAAAAAGGTGGTCTACTTCTGGGAGGAACATACAGTGCACCCACTAAAGTCTTATCATTAGTCGTCTGAATTTCTAACATTAAAAACTTTTCAGCCTTCTCAACCACTTTACTTTTAATAGTATGGTGTAGAAGAATAGCTACTCCTCCGCAACTGTTGTCATCAGGACTGCTCTCCCAATAATAACTTGGGATAGGGCGCAGTCCACGGATTTGTTTACCTACACTCGTGAGAATTACAATCTGAGGAAGATGCGAAGAGAGAAGAATATCTAGATCACAAAAATGGGTACTTAATCCCTCACAATTAAAAAGAAGAAAAAAAGCATTCTCAACTACACTCTTTGGTCTTTCTTTTCTCCATTGTTTACCAAGCTCACTCACTGAGAAACGAGAGTTCCACTCACAAAAAATAGAAAAAAGTTCATTCTTTTCACTTACAGTCCCATCAAAATGTTCGATTAAATTAAAATTTACAATCGGCGAAAAATATTTAAAATCTTCACTGTCCATTCGGTTTTTGTATAATTGAATTCAAAGCAATGCCTAATACTGCCCGTTGTTTATTTATCAGTTGATTTAAATTCATTTGATGGGAAACGTAGGTGTTTTTATGTTCGTTGATGAGCAGAAGGTGTTGTTGAAGGGCGAGAAGAAGTAGGTCGTAGTCATTTTGATTTGTTTCCGTTTTTAATTTGTTTACGATTTGTGCTAAGCTTTCCGTCACACATGAACAAGTCGAGAATAGAGTTGAGTTGATAACGCCATTCATAGCTGAAAACATTTCATTTTGAGTCTGAATTTGTTGTTGCATGAATAGCCAACTTTGACTGATTGAATTAATATGATTTTTATATTTAACTTCAATTTTCAGTTGTACAGCTGCATAGTTTTCTTTCAAATTACGTAGTTCTTCACTTAATGATTTAATTGTTTCATTCAGATTGTTATTTATTATGGTTGAGTGTGAAGATAATGAAGAAGGTAATGAAGGCCATTGATTTTGATTAGAACAATTGAATTTAATGCATGAACGTTGCTGCTGTTGATTAATTTTCAATTGTTGCTCGTGTTGAGCTGCTTTATTTTCTAACACTCTAGTTCTTTGCCCAGGCTCACGACATTCAGAGGGAATAAACAACTGGGCTTGTGCTGGTAAAAGATCAGGACGACTTCGTAACTCAAGCACCAATTCTCGACGATATTTCTGAATGACTGGACATATGTAATCGGTAGATGTATGAATTCCACCGCAATGATGACATTTTATTTCACACATTTTGTGATTTTCACCATCATTTCTGTCTTTTCCACACCTTCTACACATTTCTACCTATGAATTTGAACACATCTTTTTAATATGACCCGGCAGATTGCACTTGGAACAAATTAACAGGTTGAAAATAGATACTACTAATATTAATTCGTCGTTATTCTTATGAATTCGTAAAATACGAATTGATGCCAACTGAAATACAGCGAAACACGTTTGGCTTGTTGCGTAAACACTCACAGCCATCTTCGCAAAATTTCTTGTCCTTCATATTAATTCGCATTTTACGAATTCGTAAAAATAACGGCGAATTGAGGTGAAAACTATGCGAATCGATGCGAAGAGACGAATCTACCTATTTTTAACCTTATAGAAAAATTCTTAGACAATAAAATGCGAATTTACGACTTCTATTTATGAAATTTGTCAGATATGCTTGACGCACTGAAGTCAAGGCCAAGACATATATCTCTAAGGTTAAGAAAAGTAAGAATCGTCTCTTCGCATACTTCTCAACGGAATTTGCCGCTACTTTTACGAATTCGTAAAATACGAATTGATGTCAAGCACCAGAAGCATTTCTATGAGGTTGAAAATAGATAGATTCGTCTAGTCACATCGATTCGCATAGTTCTCACCTCAATTCGTCGTTATTTTTACGAATTCGTAAAGAAGAGAGATTCCTTTTTATTTTCTTTCGCGAAAAACTATTGACAAATTGATGAAAGAATTACAGCGAACAGACGATTCTTTGTTTTCTTAGCCTCATAGAAATATTTCTTGTTCTTGATATCAATTCGTATTATGTGAATTCGTAAAAATAACGGCGGATTGAGGTGAGAAGTATGCGAATTCGTTTCGTCTATTTACGAATTCGTAGATGCCAACGCATATCCGACGAATTCCTAAATTCTCATTTTTGCCAACTCACGAATTCTTGGTGGCCAAAAAGGTCGTTTGACGAATTCGTTGATAGTAGACCAAGTCGACTTACGAATTCGTGAGCACCCGAATTGTCTTGCCTACGAATTCGTCCCAGTTTACGAATTGGCAAGAGGAACAAAAGAGGCACCTTTTTGGTTATTTTTTCATCATTTTTGTCAGTTCTCATCAGTTCGCACTGAATTACGAATTCGCTGCGAATTACTAAAACAATAGTAAAATGTGAATTATTGTATCATTTTTACACTCAAATATTGTGATTCGTCAATTCGTCCTTAGATACTTCGTCCACACTAATGGGAAAATGAAGAGATCTTTTATCATTGGATTACGATGCTCCTAAAGAGCGAATTGTAATTTTGGTTCTTATTTGATGCTGAGGTGATCAACGAAATGCTATGATGCTTGTTTCGAACATTTAAAAGTTGTGTATGATCACTATGATTACTCAATTGTTGTAGGTAGCTTATATCAGTGGAATACAACTGGCATCACTGTAGGAAATTCAACTCAACTAAACTCGCCAGGTCAAATATTTATTGATTCTAATAACACATTGTATATCGTCAGTTACGGTAACAGTCTTGTTCTAAAGTTGTTACATAATACAATTAATTTCATAGTAGTAGCTGGCAACGATACAGGTGGTTCAGATTCAAACCAGTTTAACGTTCCACAAGGTTTATATCTTGATCAAAACTATAATTTATACGTTTCGGATTTCTACAATAATCGAGTACAAAAATGGCTATATGGCGCATTATCGGGTACAACAATTGCAGGAATATCAGGTTCAAGTGGACCGGCTATGAATCAATTCGACGGACCAGTAGGTTTATTTCTAGATTCATCAAATACCTACATGTATGTCGCAGACATTAATAATCATCGTATTATGAGATATTTCACAAATTCAACAAGTGGTGCTGCTGGAACAGTCGTAGCAGGTGGTAATGGTGCAGGCAATTCAAATAACCAGTTAAATCAACCATTCAGTGTATATTATGATTCAGCATCAAATTATTTGTATATAACAAATACTGGCGGTCAAGCAGTAATCAGATGGAGTCCAGGTGCAGCGAGCGCTATGTTTGTAGCAGGTACAGTCGGTGTAAGCGGCCAGGGTTCCACATATCTAAGTGCACCGACTCATTTAACAGTAGATCCATACGAAAATTTGTATGTATCGGACTACTCGAATAGTAGAATCCAAATGTTTTGCACGTATAATTCAAGCGGTATAACGATCGCTGGTAATGGAACCGCAGGGTCGGATAGCACCGAAATAAATGGTCCAAGAGGATTTGCATTCGACTCGCAAATGAATCTGTACGTTAGTGATATGAATAATAATCGGGTACAAAAGTTCATAAAACTCTAAGGAAAACAAAGGAATTTACATAAGCTCTCCTCTCCGAAATAGCGGCTTTATGAACGATTTGCAATATGCGAATTCTTATCAAAATTGTTCTCTGTCTGGATAATTTTATCAGCAGAAATTTTTAGCTATACAACGGTTTGTTTAAAAGCTTTTTTTGTTTTTTTACTTAACACACTCTAACTAGATGAAATTATTAGAAATCATCACTTCACCAAATAAAGAATGCTGCACCAGAAAATGTTCTTTTCTAGCACTATACACCCACCATTCTGTCATATTTGTTATGTGTGCATTCAAAAACTCTTGTCTCGAAATGAAGAAATTGAGTTAGATTATTTGATTAGTAAGCCCGTGTTATCGATTAATGATTCGCAACTGGGATCTGTTTCAGACTGAGGCATACATGAGATGACGGGATATAAAAATATACAATTTTCGACTAAAAATGACTAATGTATGATCCTTCGATTGAAATTCGTTATGTACATGCCACAGTGGGGAATCACGTGGACATTTGGCGAAAAATCGAAACTGCTTTTTTAAAATTCAGATAATGGTAAATACATTATCTGAATTACGAAGTTTCGAAGATCGACCAGTCCAAACTTACTGTTTACCTGATCAGCAGAAAAGACCGATTTTCTTGACCTGTTCTTATCACTTTCTTGGTCTGGTGTTGGAGCTGATCAGGACAAGAAAATAAAAACAGGAAACAGACAACTGTAAGTAAATAAGTCTGTACCCTGTTCTCAAGAACAGATATACTGGACATTCTCTAGAGAATGTAGTGGGTAACTAAACCGAGTCCAGTCCATTTAGCTTTCTTGCTCCTAGCAGACGATAAAAAGATTCCTGCATGAAATCTTTTGATATTTTTAGCTGCTTTGAGCTTTTCACTGCATTCGGCGGTGTATTGCTCATGCTTTTAAAGAAAAATGAGATTTATCCTCAAGAAAACAGCTTATAAGATTTGTACAAGATTCTTTTAGTCATACGCACCCTTGAAGGGTGCGTATGACTATAAGAAGTGACACAGAAACTACTATCAGTCACAAAATACAAGGCCATCAGTTACTTTTTGAATAACTTTTAATAGAAGATAGATAGAGACCTGCGGTTTTCAGTTTTGGAAATTAAACATCCCACCACATACTTTCGTAAGCAAAAATGAATTTCGGAATAGTTTTTGAAGCCTGTTTTTCAGGAGATCTTTGGAAAATCATCTCGATTCTCTGAAAGTTGCCATAGAAATCTATAAATTTTTTTTCATCGATATATAGTCCGAACTGTCCTCTACAAAAGCAGATCTAAGCGACATCTTAGAAATCCATAGTTCGGAATCTATGGATGTTTTTCCTGAAGCCTTAGCACTACTCTGTAGTTAGGTTTGGGACTGTCAGAAACGAATGAAAACATAGGTCATCGACAATGCTCACAATGCTTGTTTTCAGAACAAAATGCAACAACCACGTGAAAACCTACACTAGGTGAGATAACCCATTTTTGGTGATTTTCATCAAAAATTAAAAAATTCATAACTTAGTCAAAATCCATCCAGTCTACTTCCGAGTCTTAGGAAACACTCTATTTTATCTGCAGTTCAATAAATTTTCAGTAAAGCTCGATAAATGTTGGAAAAACCAATAGAAAATACTTTGATTTCTAAAAAGGTTTCCCAGAAACCTTCGGAACAAAGAGAATAGTTTTTATTGATTTTACGTACAGAATCAGAATGAACGGATAAAATAGATATAATCTCTAAAAACAGTGGAACAAAACCTCGACGATTGGGACGAAAAGCAACGACGACCACAAAACCAACAACTCCAACAAGATCTAGCAGTAGAAAAAAACAACAACAAAAAAGATTAAAATGAACAATTTGCTTATACCTAATATTAAGACTATATATTTATTAATCAAGCAATTTATTTTTCTGCTTTCCTATGCTAAGCATGGCTCCAAAATAAAGTCCTAATAGATGGAGTAGACATATAGGAGATCTCGAAAGAAATTTTACAAAACCCTATTAACAAAAATATGCTTTTTTGATTTTTTCAATCTTATAATCACGTTTAGCGGGCAACATTAATCATATCCTGAGGTTTTGAACTCGTTCTGGTGTATTTTGAGTGATTGAATCTTGAATTTGTTAATATTAGGTGAAAACAGCCTGGAAACCCTAATTTTCGTAATACTCACTTTTCGATAGATTTTTAAAACTTTTTCTAAAAAAACAAATATTGCCACGACACTCAGCATAGTCGATTACCCATAGTCCATCCGTCGTTAGGGCTACCAATAGTCACCGGGTGCCAGTTCTGGGGCTCGTAGGAAATCCGATACAACGCCAGAACCGCGGAAAATCAGGGTCTCCCTTTACTCCCATTTTGAACAGGACATCCCGGGCTATCAGGCCCTGAAAAAAAAGCAATGCAATCCTATTGAAAAATGTTTACAGACTGCCTGATTTTCCAAAGATCTTCTGGAAAACCTGTTTTAGACAACTCTTCTTAAAACAATTTTGGCTATGAAAACATGCTTCTGAGTCTCCTCTTTCGAATGGAGAAAGTCGGAGCTCTCCAGCTGTTTTCTGTCAAAAGTTATTGACAGAACAACTTGCAAGTGCATGGTATTTTGGCGCAGATAGTGACTGAGTTACATGTGTTCGATAGTCAAATCGAGTAAAACATGTAATAAGTAACTTTTGTAAAAATGCCAAGTAGCGGTTTTGTAGAGAATTTTATGGGCTTCCTAGTGATATATAATATGTCTCTATATCTTGACTATGAACCTGGAAAAAAGTTCTTTTACTATAGATGCGACATGAGAAAACAATTAACTTTTTTAAAATTTATTTCAAAAAACCACCAAGACATTTTCTTCGATCAAACATCGTAC